ATATTTAGAGATAGGATATTTGAGTTTTCTTAAGCTGTATGCCATAATCAGCAATATTAAAATAATAAAAGGCTTGCAATATTTCAGTTGATTTGTAATGAATCCAGAATGTATGACATTTTTGTTTTTTTAATTGCATTACAGAAAATAAAGAACTTTATCACAATATTCAATTTTCTGAGACAGTCCTGTATATGCGGGTTCGGGTCGGGGTTGCGGGATCTTTTGCCGGCGGGTCGGGTCGGGTTGCGGAACTAATTGGCTATATGTGCGGGTAGCGGGGCGGGTTCGGTATTGCACGTCGCGGGTGCGGGGCGGGAGCGGGTCTTGAAAATCAGACCCGTGCAGGACTCTGCAGCAGATTACATTCCCAATGTTCTCTGATCATCAGTGGAATTATTGGACATTTGTATCAAGGTGCACACTCAAAAATATCTTGTTCTTTTTAATATTGTAAATCCTGCACAACATGTTATCTATTTTTGAATCTGCGCAGCTCTCCACTTTTAATACAGTATTTGTCATATTTTACTGTACTCAGTTTCTCAAATAATTATATTTTAAAAGATGTTTGAATGGTGATATACACAGTGATAGATGTTAAAGACTAACGTTTATAATAAATAAATTTGTATTGATTTTAAGATATTTTCATAGTTCATACAATCATACGTATTGGGATCATTTGTATTAATGTGGGCCGGAGGGAGAGGGTGATGAGCATAAGTTTCACTTTCATTTTTTATTTAAATTCCAATTTTGGTCATCAAGAATATGTTTCTCTGTTGTTCATAAAGCATAAAGCAACAGCATCAGNAAGTCAACATTTCACTGAGCTGTGTGGGGTTTGTTCAACTTTTAAAAGATGTTTGAATGGTGATATACACAGTGATAGGTGTTAAAGACTAACGTTTATAATAAATACATTTGTATTGATTTTAAGATCTTTTCATAGTTCATACAATCATACGTTTTGGGATCATTTGTATTAATGTGGACCGGAGGGAGAGGGTGACGAGCATAAGTTTCACTTTCATTTTTTATTTAAATTCCAATTTTGGTCATGAAGAATATGTTTCTCTGTTGTTCATAAAGCATAAAGCAACAGCATCAGAGCACGGTGCAGAGTCTCTAGATGAGTTTACAGTAGTCTGTCGTTCTTATTAAACATCCATGTTGTAGTCCGTTGTATAGAACACTGTAGTTTCCATAGTTTCTCCACAGCAGCAGACGCACACCATGACGTCCGCTGGCGCATCATAAACACGTTGGATAGTGAAAGTGCAGTCGGATTCTCTAAAGTACCGCAGTCTCTTCTCCTAAGTCCTTTTGAATTCTCCTATCCACTATCCCTTAACCCCGTGACGTTTCACTCAGAGGTCAAGGGATAGGAGATAGGGTTAGAACTTAGGAGCTGATTTTTAAACTATCCGAACGCAACCTGTATGTATGTTTGTACATATACTAATGGAGTGGAATGGTAATGTTTGATAAGACCCATAAAATAAAGGCTGACAATCACAATCTCCAAGCCCATCCGCTTTCTAGCGATCTCAGAGCAATTCATCCCAGAGAGAGTGGCCTTACCTTGGAGAACATTTTGAGTCTGGAGCTGGGGTCTCTGGAGGTGGTCACCAGGATTTTAGGATCTTCCACTCCGGCCCATTTATACTCATCATCCATGTGTGAGCTGACACCTTCACAGACAAGAGCCAACCAAAAGCAATGAATACACTGAAGGCTACACTGATCCATGAAATAGGACGCTGCTCATAAGAAGAGGGAATAATAACACAAACCTTCTGCTCCTTCATCGTCGTACTCCAGTAGTTTCTGCAGCTCCAGGGCATCTTTGCGTACTTCAGTTGGGAGGAGACGATTTTCTGCAAAGGACAAGGACAGCTCGTGTTAAACCAGGATGGGTGCTTGGTCAGGCACAATGGAACCGGTGATCCTGCCCGATTCCCACCTTCAAGTGCTCCCTTGAGCTTCTGCTTCTTCTCCTCGATGGTGCGGAGCCGGTCCTCCTGGGCCTTTCTGTACAGGTACTCTCGACGCTGTCTTACTTCTCGACGAAGCTGGAACAATATGACACCAAATACACAAACGTAATTTTGACTATATAATTAGAATCAGAATTCCTTTATTTCATATAGAGGAAAAAAAGAACACATTAGTTATAATAGGAGAAAAATTAAGACAAATAAGTACACATCCATGGCTAAAAATGAGTGATAACGTGTAATTTGACATTTTCAGTATACAACGTTGAATTATCAGAAATAGGGCTGCACATAGATAAAACATTGGTATTCAAATCACAGAAGGTGCAATATTTGTTAAAAAGGAATTAAAAATGAAAAAAAATCAGATTCTCATCTAGGGTCTTAACTAAATACATTTGTGTGTTGAAGATCCTAAAAACACACGATGATGATTGATTTTAAATACATTTCAAAGATAATAAAAACGATGCAAAAATGATCAATCGCTCAATTATCGTGAATCATATTGCTATTAGAATATCATTAAAAAATAATCTCAATTATGTATTTAATCCAAATTGTGCAGTCCTAGTCAGAAATCAATAAATAATGATTTGTATCATGACACCATGACTACATGTTGAAACTCACAATGAAATAAGGTAAACCATGTCCGTAATGATAAGTCACCAATTTCAATGTTAACAAAGTGCTGCCTGGTGAAGTGGAGTAGTGTTAATGCCGAACACAAGTATACGATAGGATACGATACGATAATACTTTATTTGCTAGATCAAGTCTGAAATTGAAAAGCAGCTCCATGTCCAACATCAACAGACAAGTATCCAGACACAATACATGAAACACAAACAACAAACATTTAACATAACAGCACAATCAGTGAGAGAAAACATGCTCAAAGAACCTTCAGCGTGCATTTGATCTGGGATCAGCTCTGTAATTACTGTGAGGATTGACTGATGCACAAAGGAGTGCTTCAGTCTGACTTTATTGAAACGTGGGATCCTGTATCTCCGATTAGATGGTAGCAGTTCATATTCACTGTTCAGAACATGGTTTGGGTCAGAGATGATGTTGTTGGACAGCCTCACTAGGTTGTTATGATAGGCTGAGTCATAGAGTCTCTGACAGGGTTGACAAACAATCTTTGAGCAGATTTTTAACAGGTGGAACAGTTTTGATTTTAAAGCTACTGACAAACATTTGTACCAGGTAGTATTGCAGTACTGCGGAATGGATATGATCACAGATGTAAAGAACAACAGAAGAATTTCTCTGCTCGCCCCAAAAGACCTAAGACGGCGGAGAAAATAAATTCTTTGTTTTGTCCTTTTGCACAGATATTCAATGTGATCCTTCCATGACAGCAGATGGTCAATCATTACACCCAAGTATTTGTATGAAGCTTGATTTCATCTGTATGGATGACAATGGGGACTTTATGGGAGTCAGATGGTGAGCCAAAAATGATTTCCTCAGTTTTCTTGGTGTTGATCTCAAGAGCATTGTTATCAGTCCACTCCACCACTTGATTTACAGCCTGTTGGTGCAGCTCAGGGTCGTCTGTGTTACTGAGCAGAGATATTATTCCACTATCATCAGAGTACTTTATGATGACTTGATTTGGTGTAGTCGGATTATTCATGTTTCAGAAGATATTTGAGTTTAAAATAAAGGTTAATGTAATTATTAGGATTTCTAAATGCAGTTCTTGGTGTCAGTCCCAAAAAGAGCAATTTCCATACAGAAAGAAAAACATAGCTTATTAAGTTAGCTAAGGAAGCTATGCAACTATAAATATAATATAACTAAATATCGTCATAAACATAAAAGGATATAAACTGTGGACCAGACTGTGATGTTTATATTGAATAAAGATACTGCATCACGCGCAAATGTATCATAAACTACGTCACATCTATCGTTAGCGCGAATGCTAATGCGAGTTTCGAAACAAAGATAGTAAAATACGTAATAAAATACGTGATAAGATGTTAGAGTTAGGCTTTTTAAACTTACCATGATGATTATTTAGCATGTAGCACTTCTCACATGGAGAAAGCAGGGCATTCGTACAAGGGCTTTCTTCATTGGCTGACAGAGGAGCCAATGAGAACGCTCGATACTGATTTCAAAGCTTTTCAAAATAAAAGCCCGAGTTTCAAGCACACCCCAAGCCCCGTCTGTTGCGACGGATTTTAAAGGTCCCATGTCATGCTTTTCTGGTTATTACATGGTTATTACCCGTCCCCTTGTGTGTTATGTAGCTTTTTCTGCATGTAAACGGTCTGCAGAGTCACAAACGCTCAAAGTACACCCTAGCGAGTAAAACTAACAGAAAATACCTGTCTATTCTCTCTCTCTCTCAAGTTATAGCAAATATGACCAATTCACATTAATTTAAGTCTTTCGTTCACAGCATTAGCAAAACATGTTTCAAAGGTCAAACACCGCTAACCTTTCATGCAACAATTGTTTTAGAAAATAGAATTCCAACATCACGGATTGCTTGAGGGCAACCGGCCGACCATCTGGTCTTTGTTGAGGAACCAGAGGCCTGGCTTCATTCCAGCTCCATGAACATAGGCACAGAATTATCCACAGACGTCTTTATTTGTTTAAAAGACACAAGATTTGTTCTTTATGAAGAAATAAGCTTGCATTTATTGGACAAACCACACTCACTGCAGTGTAAATATGGAACATGTCATTGGGGGTGAAAAATAAATGAAGGCTTTCATTACAAAATGTCATACATCCATTTGGAAAAAATACCTTGAGGAAACATTTCCAAAGTGCACACCCACTCTCAGAAATGTTATTAGTTTGGAAAGCAGAATATTTCTTTAGGATGTCAGCGGCATTATTTCCACACAGTGTATGTATCATTTTTGGAACAAAGCTCCTCAAATATACACATTTATTTCTATATTTTAAACATTCTTTTCTTGCTGTACACTGAAGTCTCATGCTTGAAACTGTGCTTTCAGCATTTATCCTCAATCACATGACAAAAGACAAAAAAAGCACACAGTATTCAGGATCAATGCTGCATAGTTTCAACTTTGGAGTCTCAAACATCACGTCTTTGTAAGCATATGCACAGGAGATGGAAACCGTATGAAATCTGTCAGACAAAAATACACATTATTCCTCTTGGATGCAAGAATGCTTCTCTTATTTGAAACATTTGAGGGATTTATGGAAGAAACCGTACTGTACTGTATGTAGTTCTTATCACCACGTACCGAGGCTGTATTACAGGTGTGAAATATGAACGGCAATCTGTTAAAAGCTGCAAGTGTTTCAGCATAGTCTAAATCCTGACAATAAAATATAATGGAGGCAATAAATAACAAGGATAAAAGCACGAGGAAATGTTACTTACAGAGAAAATTTGAACACATTACCATAATGTTCCTTTAGAAGGATGGAGCATCAAACCAAAACAAACCAATGCACTGATTCACTGCAATCTCCATACAGGGTTTCAGAGAGGACGTCCGTTCCATTTGACCAATAAAAGGCAACATTCCAACACTTTTACAGTAAGAACACTTGAAATGGATCATGAGGATAGCGGCACATCTTTCCCTTGTAGTGACCTCCTTTAAGGCAACTGCAGAAAACACGAGGAGTGTGTGTTTGTTTTGAAAGGGTAGCAGTGGATGAAATCATAAAATCACCAGCGAAGACATGGGGGGAGGGATTCACATCAAGATTACGTCCACACTAAGCAGGTTTATTCTTAAAAAAAAGCGCCTTTTGCGACACCAGAGCTTGTGTCGCACCTTTTTATTTATTCATTTATTGTTTTATTTGATTATAATTACATTTTATTTACATTATTTTTGAGCTAATATTACAGTTATTGTATGGTCAGTTCATCGATGTTAAGAGAGATACAGTATTTGAAATGCTCGTGTGTATGTGGTATAGAAATGATTATAAACAATGATGTTGTAATTTATACTATGTATAAAATAAATAAAAATGCTATTGTTCTGATCATCAACAAACAGAGCTAGGATCTGGGATCAGTTGATAACAAATGTCTTTAAGAGTCTTACATTATTGCTGTGACTTGGAGAAGAGACATGGCAGACTGCAGTACACGGGTCAGACTCACTGTCCCATGAAGATGTAAACACAGTGAACAATCATTAGGAGATTAGGGGAATGTTAGATCCACCCTGACAAACCATTTAAAAAATAGCCCCAAACAAAACACTTAGTGTGAACGTGCTCCGATAGTGAAGCCTGGGAAGTCTTTTCTTAAAAAAATCAAAATCCACTCACTCAGAGTTTATATTTAGAGACACAAGACTGAGCGTGCCACTGAAGCCAACACCTAGGAAAGAAAGACAAAGAAAGCAGGAGTGTGTCACTTGTCACTTTAAGCATGCTCTCCATAACCACAGCGACCAAAACAAATTCCAAATGATAACCGTATTTACAGACGCCAACATATTCAATCATCTCAAAGTACAAAGAGCCAATCACCAGGACTCACTACAGTACACGTGGTTTTCTCGCCGTTCCCTATTGGCTGGAATGGAAGTGACAGCAGTAGTGCAGATGGGGGGGAGTCGATCAGAAGGAACGCTCCGGAGAAGAGCTCCTCGCTCGTGTTACTGGCAGCCATGTGGGTTACGTATGGCTTGGAGATGCTTTATGCTCTTAAGTCAAGGAACAAGAAGGTTTTTACAAGGACCCTCGCCTCGCCGCTGTTCCTCCCTGAACAGGAGCTTCTATAGTTCCTCATAATCTCCGTCATCTCTTTTGACGGACGCTGCTCCTCCGCCCAGAAAGTCCTCCAGATCGTCCACCTCGGTTTTCTTGCTCCGGGATGGCTTTTTCTTTTTCTCTTTCTCGTCTCCCGCTGCACCTTCGTCCTTTTCTTTTTTCTTGTGTTTGTGTTTCTTCTTGTTTTTCTCGTCCTCCTGAAAACAGAAATATGTTTATTGTGTTGATATTACTGTCTTTTAGAGATATGTCGTATAAACAACAACAAAAAGACGTTACCTCTTTGATTTTCTTCTTCTTTTTCTTCTTGTCTTTGGAGGAGTGTTTACTTTCTTTTTCTGAAAGAGAAGCGGAGACAAACAGAAGTTTCACAGTGATGAACGACTAGAGTGGTCCCACTTTAAAGAGTCTAGTTGCCAGCATTGGAGGGCTGATTTGGACTACTATGAGTAGTAGTGCAACCATTGGATAAAGGGGGCACAAGATGAACAGATGACCTCTACTGTGGACAATTTATTTTCAAATAAATAGGCAATCTGTCCAATCCAAATGATCCAGAGTCCCCTAAATCTTCCAAATTGAGCCCACCAAGAGCAAAACATTTCTGGCTGAAAATGCCATCATTTAATTCCGTCAGAATCAGATGGATTCAGCATCCTCAATTACTTCCAAAATTGTCCAAGTCTGCCAAGCAATTTATTCACTATTGTCAATATGGGCTCTAACGGAATCAATGCCAATTAACACAACTTATGCTAATTGTGCAAATTGCCCAACATATGCAAGTTAGCATCTGGCAGTTTCTATGTGCTGGGACCCGTACTGTACCATTAAACTTTGGGGTACTCAACATTTCCGGGTTTACAACAGGACTCTATGAGCTAGACTTATATATTCAAATGAAGTTGAAAAAACAGAATGTTAGGAGTAAAGCTGCATTCACATGACAAACGGCTCTGCGCTGACATTGCTGTTGTGTTTCTATGGAGACACGGGCAACCGGAAAATAAATCAAATTGTGATATCCTCAAAGATTCCCTCAAGGATTTACTGACGATGGGCATATATTATTGTGAGCTCATAGGGGGAGACTTGTGTGCCGCCTAATGAGAAACATGTGTAGACAGACATCTCAGGACTTGCCTTCCTGCTCCTCGCTGCTCTCCTTGGCTGCAGGAGCCTCTTCCTGGAAGCCGAGGCCGAACAGGTCGGTGTCGTCCTTATGTTTAAAGGAGATCGGTGTGGGCTTCAGAGGCTCTGTCGCCTTGGATACCTGCAAGTCGTCGTCAGACAGGTCGGACAGAAGCTCATCTCGGACTGGAAATATGTCCTGGGAGGAAGGGAGCAGCCACACATGATCAATCCCCTGGTTTCCCCAAATAAAGCTTCGGAAAAACAAGCTTTTGATGTACAGTGTGACAGAAACGCAACTAAAATAGAGTGGTGCAGTCATTGTTCAAGGGCTACCCGGAAGTTTGCATCGCAATTGCTCCCTCAACTAAAACGGGTTGGATTTCCGAATATAGCAGAAAATTAGATCTGTGGCAAACACACATTTATGATCAGTGCTTGAATTGGAATAAAAAAGGTGCCAGTACCCTAAATCAGCAACTGTTTCAAGTCAATTTATTTATACAGCCCAAAAACAAGAATGTGGCTCAAAGTCATAGTATATTCTATAATGCTGGTGGGTTTGTCTCTTTACTGTATATTTTAGAAAGGCTCACTGTACTTAAACAAAATGACTCAGGGTGCATCTGAGATTAGAGGGGGTGCAGGGGTAAAGTGCTATTTTTTATAAGTGGGGAGTGGACCTGACACCCTCTAGGGAAGTGCCGGTACTGCGTACCGGTGAGTACCGGCCCAATTCAAGCACTGTTTATGATACTTAGTGTAAGACATTCACCAGTAGAATATTTATTGACATATTTTATTTAGGACTCATTCCTGCACCACTCGGAGTGGTGCGTAAGTCAGAATATTAGTATTGTGTCCATTTAATTTTATCCAACCTACAAACATTATGCATTACATCATTTTGTTCTTTTTTAATACTGTGAGCCATGTTCCTGCTCAGCTCTCTGAAGATATTTTGCACACCTGCACAGCCATTCACTTTAAAATATAATACACTGTAGTTTGTCATATATTGTCATGTATTCATTGTCTGAAGTAATTTAGGATTGTTTGTATATTTACATTTGGTGTTAAAACTTGTCTTGATTATTGTTTAATGCTAAATAGTTTCATAGTATGTGTTAGGAGTGTAACGGTTCACAAACATTTCGGTTTGGTACGTACCTCGGTTTTTAGGTCACGGTTCGGTTCGGTACGTTTTCGGTACAGCAGAAAAAATTATCACAAAACATAACGTATTTCTTGTTTTTTTTAATTATTATTATTAAACTGTGAATAATGTAT